CCCCCCGAAGAATCGAGCAAGAGCACCACCCGCGCATCCACAGCCACAAGTGGCAACAAAAAAGGCTTGCCGTCGCAAGGCGATCCTAAATCTGTGAACAAGGAAGCTGGCGCGGAGGAAGCCATGGAAGTGACGACACTAGGTGATTGAAAAATGCGCATCCTCCAGACAAACCTGGAAAGGTCAAGACGAGCGCAAGGCCTGCTCTACCAAACCATTCGGAAGAGCACGGTCACCCTAGCGGTGGTGGCCGAATCATACAGAGTTCTGGATGGACCGAACCTCCGGAGTCTCCGGAATGGACCGAAAATACGGACGAAATGGCTGCTGTCACCTGGAAATCAACGCTGGGGGCGTTCGCCCACGGAGCCCTGCTGGAGCGTGGCAACGGATACATCGCCGTCGAGTGGGCAGGGATGGTGGTGGTGGGAGTGTACGCGTGACCCAACAGCGGATGGGCAGCATGCGAGGAATTCCTGGACGGAGTTGGCGACTGCGTCAGGCGACGACTTCCCCGGCAAGTGCTCGTCCTGGGAGATTTCAACGCGCCCTCCACGGAATGGGGGACCAGGACCAATGCGCGCGACCGCGCGCTGTCAGACTGGGCCGCGGGGCTTGGACTCCTTTTGGTGAACAGGGGTTCGACCACTATCTGCGTGGCGTGGAGAGTGAGCTCCATCGTCGACATTACATGCGCCTCCCCCGATGCATTCAGGCGGATTTCACGCTGGAGAGTGGCCGAGATTCCCTTTCGGACCACCTCTACATTCATGAACGTGAAGGACACACCTGGACCTGGAACGGCGACTGCGGGCGATGATCGCGGCCCGCTGAGAGGAGGACGTGCGCGCCCACCGCCAAGATGGAGGGTAAAGGAGTTGTATAGAGATCTACTCCGGGCGGCCGCTATAGCAACAGCTTGGAGCTGGGAGGCCTCGACGACGATAACCGAAACAGGCGTGGAAGAGGAGGCTGAGAACCTTTGCCGAGCCATGACAGCAATTTGCGACACATCCATGCCACGAGTCACACCGAGCACGGTGCGGAGCAGAGCAGTCTACTGGTGGAACCCCGACATCGCGGAACTGAAGTCGAGATGCGTCCGGGCCCGAAAACGGTACCTGAGGGCCCGTTGTTGGCGACGACGCGACAAGGAAGAAGTCTCCAAACGCTACGAAAAACAGTGGAAGCAGTCGAGTCTGACCAATGGGGAAGGCCATATAGGACGGTGACGCGAAAACTTCGCGCGAAGGAGCCCCTTGCAATAATGGAGATGGAACCTGCGCTGCTGCTGCAGATCATCGGGACGCTTTCCTCCCCGCAAAAGGACTGTGCGGCAGAACAGTCGCGGGAAATGATAAAGCTGATAGAATGGAGAGATGCCTGGGAGATGACTGGGAAGTCACGGAGGAAGAGATGTGGAAGGCGATCAGAAGAATGGCCTCCCGCGACGTGGCGCCGGGCCCGGACGGAATCTCGATCCGGGTCTGGGGGGAAATGATGGGGGTCATGGCCCCCGGACTTCGACGCTTCTACACAAGTAGTCTGAGAGAGGGAGGGAGTTTACCCCCGGGCATGGCGGACGGCGAGGCTGGTCTTGCTGTGTAAAGAGTGCTGACTGACGATTTCGCCGTCAGCGTACCGGCTGATATGCCTGCTAGACGAGGCCCGCAAACTCCTCGGGAGAGTTGTTGCCACCCGCTTGCAGCGACACATAGTGGGACAGGTGCCAGGTTGGCACCAGGTTGGCATGAAAACCTCGAGTGATGTACGGGGCCCCGGTATGGGCGGACGACCTGATGGCGAGCCGCTGCAGCATCCTGCTCCTGAGAAGGCTACACAGGGTAACCGCCATCAGAATCATTAGGGGATACCGGACGGTGTCTCACGCGTCGGCGACCGCCCTAGCCGCGTCCTCCCCGTGGGAGCTCCGGGCGCTAGCGCTCAAAAAGAGATACACCCACCGGAGAGTATGGCATCCGGGAGAAGATCCGACCGAGAAGGCGGCTCCGAACGACATAGGAACCGCTGAGGAGGACACGTGGGACCGGTGGCGATCCCAGCTGATCAACGAGGGAGGTGAACATCGGGGCGCGGAGGGGGTCCTCCCAAACTGGGAGGCATGGAGAAGCCGCCACGGCTTCCCGCTCACATTCAGAATGACCCAGATACTCGCCGGACACGGCGTGTTCGGTGAGTTCCTGAAGAGAATTAGACGGAAGAGGACAGACATCTGCCACCACTGTGAAGAGGACAGCGACACGGCGCAGCACACCCT